TTTGTTGATCGAACACTGCCTCACTTCACAAAGGATGACTATGGGCCCGAAAGCCGTGGATTTGTGGAGAATTCATATCTCCGTGGGTTGACTCCGCAAGAGTTCTTTTTTCATGCAATGGGTGGTAGGGAAGGTCTCATTGATACTGCGGTGAAAACATCTGAGACTGGATACATACAGAGGCGACTGGTGAAAGCTATGGAGGATATAATGGTAAAATATGATGGTACTGTGAGGAACTCATTGGGGGATGTGATTCAGTTCCTTTATGGGGAAGATGGAATGGATGCTGTCTGGATTGAATCCCAAAAGGTGGAGTCATTAAAAATGAAGAAACCTGACTTCGATAAGTTCTTCAAGTATGAAATTGATGATCCCAATTGGAGTCCTAATTACATGTTGCCCGAGCATGTCGAGGATTTAAAGAACATACGGGAATTGCGTGATGTGTTTGATGCTGAAGTTGCAAAGCTTGACGGAGACAGAAAGCAACTTGGAACCGAGATTGCCACCACTGGTGACACTTCCTGGCATTTGCCTGTTAATCTTGCGAGGCTCATATGGAATGCACAGAAGACATTTAAGGTTGACACAAGAAAGCCTTCGGATATTCACCCAATGGAGGCTGTTGAAGCTGTTGATAAGTTGCAAGAAAGGCTGAAGGTTGTCCCTGGTGAGGATCGATTGAGTGTGGAAGCTCAAAAAAATGCTACTCTCTTCTTCTCAATCCTGCTCCGTAGCACTTTGGCAAGTAAGAGGGTGCTCGAGGAATACAGGCTCAGTCGTGAAGCGTTTGATTGGGTTATTGGTGAGATAGAGTCCCGTTTCTTGCAATCATTGGTTGCTCCAGGTGAAATGATTGGTTGTGTTGCAGCACAGTCTATTGGGGAGCCTGCTACTCAGATGACTCTCAACACGTTTCACTATGCTGGTGTTAGTGCAAAGAATGTCACCCTTGGTGTCCCCAGGTTGAGGGAAATCATTAACGTAGCCAAGAAAATAAAAACACCTTCTCTTTCTGTTCTTCTGCAACCAGAATGGAGCCAGACAAAGGAGAAGGCTAAAACTGTCCAATGTGCCCTGGAGTATACAACCCTGCGAAGTGTTACCCAAGCTACCGAGGTTTGGTACGATCCGGATCCCACAAGTACAATTATTGATGAGGATGCTGATTTTGTGAGATCTTATTACGAGATGCCAGATGAAGAGGTTGCACCTGAAAAGATTTCTCCTTGGCTGCTTCGTGTAGAGTTGAACCGTGAAATGATGGTTGATAAGAAACTAAACATGGCTGACATTGCTGCCAAAATCAACCTCGAGTTTGACGATGATTTAACTTGCATCTTCAATGATGACAATGCCGAGAAGCTGATTCTCCGCATCCGTATCATGAATGATGAAGCCCCTAAAGGCGAGCTTACTGATTCATCAGCTGAAGATGATGTTTTCCTGAAGAAAATCGAGAGCAACATGCTGACGGAAATGGCTCTGAGAGGTATTCCAGATATCAACAAGGTCTTCATCAAGCATGGCAAAGTAAGCAAGTTTGATGACAATGATGGATTCAAAACGGTGGAAGAGTGGATGCTGGACACTGAAGGTGTCAATCTGTTGGCTGTCATGTGTCATGAAAGTGTTGATGCCAAGAGGACAAGTAGCAATCACTTGATTGAAGTTATTGAAGTGCTGGGAATTGAGGCAGTTCGTCGTGCACTTCTTGATGAGCTCCGGGTCGTTATTTCTTTCGATGGATCATATGTGAATTACAGGCATCTTGCTATATTGTGTGATACCATGACATATCGTGGTCACTTGATGGCAATTACTCGGCATGGTATAAACAGGAATGACACTGGACCTATGATGAGGTGCTCATTCGAAGAAACTGTTGACATCCTTCTTGATGCTGCTGTATATGCTGAGTCGGATTATTTGAGGGGTGTGACTGAAAATATCATGCTAGGTCAGCTTGCACCTATTGGCACTGGAGGGTGTGCCTTGTATCTGAATGATGAAATGTTGAAGAATGCCATTGAACTGCAGCTTCCCAGTTATATGGAGGGTATGGAGTTTGGGATGACACCTGGTCGTTCTCCAATATCTGGCACTCCTTATCATGAGGGGATGATGTCTCCAAACTACTTGCTGAGCCCAAGTCTACGCCTGTCGCCTATCTCAGATGCTCAGTTTTCACCTTATGTAGGTGGTATGGCATTTTCCCCTGCATCATCGCCTGGGTACAGCCCATCATCTCCAGGCTACAGCCCTTCTTCTCCAGGATACAGTCCGACATCACCTGGATATAGTCCGACCTCGCCTGGGTACAGCCCCACTTCGCCCGGTTACAGCCCCACTTCACCAACATATAGTCCCAGTTCTCCTGGGTACAGTCCAACAAGTCCGGCCTACTCTCCAACAAGCCCATCTTACTCCCCTACCTCTCCGAGCTATAGCCCTACATCCCCCAGCTACAGCCCCACATCCCCAAGCTACAGCCCGACGTCACCGAGCTATAGTCCCACATCCCCGAGCTATAGTCCCACATCCCCTAGTTATAGTCCTACTTCTCCAGTTTACAGTCCCACTTCACCGGCGTACAGTCCTACTTCACCGGCATACAGCCCTACATCACCATCTTATAGCCCAACCTCTCCTTCCTACAGCCCTACTTCACCTTCATATAGTCCTACGTCTCCGTCCTACAGTCCAACGTCTCCTTCATATAGCCCCACTTCACCTGCATATAGCCCCACTTCACCAGGGTACAGCCCGACATCGCCGAGCTATAGTCCTACATCTCCAAGCTATAGCCCAACGTCGCCGAGTTACAATGCGCAGTCAGCAAAATACAGTCCTTCACTTGCTTACTCACCAAGCAGTCCCAGATTATCCCCTGCTAGTCCTTACAGTCCTACATCTCCAAGCTATAGGTAGGCATGAATGTTGGGAAGTAATTACTTGATTTGCATTTCACAGCAATTTGTTCATATCTTTATGGTGGTTGCAATTTTATGATCTTGGGCTAATTTTTTTATCCCTTCTGTGCAGCCCTACTTCACCTTCATATTCACCGACGTCTCCATCATACTCCCCATCAAGCCCAACATACAGTCCCAGCAGGTAATTTTTCTGGCTTCTGTTATTGCTGATTAGTGTCCAGGGTCCTATGTGGAACGACTTCTCTACGATGAGTTTTTTCTGCCCACCTGTTATCCCCACTCCATGTAATTCTGGCTTCTGTTATTGCTGATTAGTGTCTAGGGTGGAACGACTGCTCTATTTCATACGCGATGACCTTTTTGCAATGCAGTGTTTGCAAGTGAAGAAACTCAATTGATTTGTGTATTTGTTGCAGCCCGAGTGCAGGGTATTCCCCAAGTGCACCGGGGTACTCACCATCATCTACAGGACAGTAAATGTGACGAGAAAGGCAAGGGATGGGTGGAACACAAATAGAATGAATGGACTTGGGGTTTGCCTGAAATGAACTGGAATACAAAGGGCAGGGTTTCACCTTGGCTCTTGTGTATAAATTGATTAAGGACATTGGTGATCAACTTTTCTTTTTCTCGTAGTGGAATATAGGAATGGATGATGAATACAATCTGAGTAGGAGGGACAGTTTGGTTTCTGGTTGCTTGTATTGTATTGAGCCAATTGCCCATCTGATTTCTAGCGGTTCTGCAATCAATCAAGTGAGAAGCTGTGGTGGAGGTGATTGAAACCATTTGCCCACTAAAATAGGAAGGTGTGGTTTGGTTGGTGTGTGAAATATGTAGAGTCGGGGCATTGCTTTTGGTCGGAAACTGTAAAAAAATATATGTAGTTTGTTCTGCTTATTAGAGAATTGGAGTTGGGGTATGGATATTTTTTTGATCCCCTTCCTTGGCTTCTATCAGTTGTCTTGGGTTCACTTGTTAACTTACCTTGGACTTTTTGACAGTAGCAGACTAGCAGGTTGATTTATTTTGTGGATAGTGGACGTTTTGTTATGATGTTATCCTTGTGTTTTCTCACTTTCCATATTTTTGACAGTAGCTTACTAGCAGGTTAATTAATTCTCCCATCTTTTCAGGACTTCACTTGGAATTGAGTTTCCAATTTCCAGTGTTATATTTAGGGATGTGAATAGGCAATAGATTTAAGTAGAATGCCTATTGAGTTTTGGTGGGTTAATTGCATGGTTGGTCACTGAGATAATAAAAAAAGTCCAAGTTTGGTTACTCAAAATATTAAATCTATTGGTGGTACTTCAGTTATTGAAATCATTTATGTTTGGTCACTTTCTGTCCAACTCTGTCAATTTTTGCTTACGTGACAGTCAACTCTAAAAGTTTATCGTTAAATGTGTGACGTGACAATTAAAAAATAACTAGATATATAAATTTTAATTTTTTAAAAATTTCACCTCATTTCTAACTATTAAAAGATAAAAAAAAATCCATGTTGTTCAGATACGTGCTCCTCGGATTCTTCGAGACAAACGGGGTCATGTAACTGTAGATCCTCCGAATCTGGCCCAGATACTTCTAATCTGCATCAACCCCGACCTCTTTCCACGAAATAGAGTACTGAATCTTGTAAAGATTCCCGGCACGATGAGGAAACAATGTCTTGGTCACCGACACCTTGTCCATCACTCCACCATACGGGTTGAAAACGAACCCTGTTTTCCTCGACTCGATCATCTTCTTCCAAATCCTCTTCCCGAAGTTGACCGATTCCGGCTGCCTACTTAGCAGCGCTGCCGGGTTCGTCTCGTTGTCGAATCCCCACCAGAACAGACTGAATCCAACTCATTTCCAAGCAATCTTCCTTCTTCAACCCCAATTCAGGAAATTCCTTTCCAAGCAATCTTCCTTCTTCAAAACCGACGCTCTGACCGTGGTCTCCCCTTTCTTCGTCGTCGAACTCACCGGCTACTGGAGCATCCTCGTGAATAGATCCTCTGTTGTCTTCGGAGCCACAAACTGCCATTGATAAGCCAATTCAGTCGTGTTTTACTCCAAATACTTCTCTACCCTGAAACTCGCTCCGCAGCCACCACGAATCGCCCAGAACAGATCCTCCCCCATCGAAGCCCTGTCGAGAAGTTTTCCATTCACATCCACGATTTGGGCGTCGACAACGTTGTCGGTCGAGAGGCCGTACTTCCTCAAGAGGTTCCCGTACCCGGCGCCGCTCAAGTGCCCGCCGACTCCGACCATGGGGCAGATCTCGGCGGGGAACCCAAGGATGTTGCTCTTCTGCCAGATCCGGTAGTAGAGCTCGCCGAGGGTGGTGTCAGCCTGGACCCAGCCGGATTTTGCGGTGGCATCGATTGGGATGGAGCGAAAATTGAACATGTCGAGGATGAAGAAAGGGGAGCCGGAGATGTAGGAGAGGCCCTCGTAGTCCTGGCCGCCGCTGCGGGTCTTCAGCTGGTAGCCGACGGCCTTGGTGCAGAGGACGACGACCTGGACATGGGGGATTTTGGTCGGGGTTATGATGATTGAGGGTTTGGGGTGGAGGACTGGAGGAAGTGTGGAGGCGGAAGTAGATGAGGTTCGAGATCTTGTCTTTTGGGGCGGTGTTGGTTTCTAGGCAGTGGAGGAATGATTGGTACACGGAAGCATCGGCGGCGCCGGCGGAGGCGGACTGGTAGGATTCTGGTTTTGTGGCATTGGCCTTAGGGATAGCAATGGGTCGGGTTGGGTCGGGTTTTACCAACCCAAACCCAAACCCATGGGTTTATCTGTGAAAATACTTCGGGGTAAAACTTACTGGGTTTGAAAAACTCAAACCCAACCCAACCCGCTGGGTATCCGCGGGTTCATGGGTACCCACGGATTTTTGTCGTAAAAAATTTACAATAACAAGTTCCTATCAAAATTAAAGTCAAATATCAATATCTCATAACAAATTATCCATATTTAAAACACCATTCTAGAAAATTCAAGCAAATAACAAATTAACTATACAAATTGTTCAACACCAATCTAGAAAACTCAAGAAAATTGAAGCAAATCACAAATTATCCATAAATAACATGATTAATTGAAAGCTTCTTCCTTTCAATTAAGTTTTTTCACTCTCCACTAGATAACATCAACTTCATTCTACACAATTAGAAAGAAAAAATTAGACATGTCTCCACAAACATGAATAAGATTATTTGTTTAGAATATTAAACATACCGAGAAAATTAATTATATGGGTGTGGGCGGGTACCCATGGGTCGGGTTTACCTAAACCCAAACCCAACCCAACCTGGTGAATAGTGAACTGGTTTAAACCCAAACCCGGCCCAAAACCCGTCAACACGGATTTTACCCGCGTTGACCGGGTTGGGTCAAGTGGGTACCCATGGGTTCGGGTTTTGTTGCCATCCCTAGTTGGCCTCAGCTTTAGAGAGTTTATCTGAGCGGAAAAGCCAGCAACCACCGCCGTTTGTGGCCAAGAATGCGGCGGGAGAGGATTCGCCGTTTGTTCTTAATTTTAATAATCTATAATTTTATTTTTATCTTTTCAATAGTTAGAAATGAGGTGGAAATTTTAAAAAATTAAATTTTGTTTATTTGATTATTTTTTAATTGTCACGTCACACATTTATCGGTCAACTTTTAGAGTTGACTGCCACGTAAGCAAAAATTAACGGAGTTGGACAGAGAGTTACCAAACCTGAACGATTTCAGTAAACTGAAGTACCACCAATAGATTTAATTTTTTTTTTTATGAATATAGATTTAAATATTTCGAGTGACCAAACTTGAACTTTTTTTTGTAATCTCAGTGACCAACCATGCAATTAACCCGAGTTTTGGTAGAGAAAATTCAACTCAGTGGGTATTTCTTGGTGTGGGTTATATAATCGTGAATCTCCTCCCAAGATTTATATTCTTATATTGCCCAACCACAAATTAATTTGACATGACCTCCAGTTAAGAGTGTACATCTAGCCTAGTATACCCAGTGGACCGACCCGGTCCGGCTGGACCCTTAGGGTAGGGTCGGGGCAATATTTTTCTCAAGTGTAAGATCTGGTATGTACTTTTCCTCGACAATACAAGTAATCTATTGGCAAAAATTGAACTCGCGGATTGCTTTGAGTATCAGCCTGCTCATAATAGCTTCCAATGGCTGAAGCAAGTGATGGAACAAGTCGATGAGGAGAAACTGGAACGGCGGAGTGTCCTAATGTGGTTCTTGTGGAAGGAAAGGAACGCCCAACTTTTCAACACCACCACCAACAGCACCAGATACAACATGACGAGAGGGAATGGGTAGAAGGATGGAAGAAGCCAGGTCTAGCCGTCTAGGGGCTCATAAGATCAATACGGATGTTGTTTTTTATGAAGCAAATGGCATAAGGCTGGGGTTGGTGATTCGCGGTTCGGATGGTGCCTTGTTGTCGGCAACTAAGCGAATACAGAGAAGCTTCGAGGTGGAGATGGGTGAAGCACTAGCGGCGGAATACGGTATGCTGTTAGCATTACAGTTCTAGGTCGCGCATCCCACGTTGGAATCCGACTGCCTCCCACTAATTCAGAAGGTTGCCGCAACGACACATATACACTAGAGTCGTTTGTAGGAACATTCGTTGCATTTTTGAAGAGATAGGGGAAGGATCATGGGATCACGTTCGTAGGACGACTAATGAAGCAGCACATATTATGGTGCACTCCTAGGGATGGCAACAAAACCCGAACCCACGAGTACCCTACCCGACCCAACCCGATCAACGCGAGTAAAATCCGTGTTGACGGGTTTTGGGCCGGGTTTGGGTTTAAACCCGCTACACCATTCACGGGTTGGGTTGGGTTTGGGTTTAGGTATACCCACCCATGGGTACCCGCCTACACCCATATAATTAAATTTTTTCGTTATATTTAATATTCTAAGCAATATATATCTTTCTTAAACAACTAATCTTCTTTATGTTTGTGGAGACATATCTAATTTGATATTATGGAGTGGAGAATGAAGAAGTTTAATTGACAAAAAGGAAGAAGCTTTCAATTAATTATGTTGTTTATAGATGTTTATCTTTAATTTGAACAATTTGTATTGATAATTTGCGGTTTGCTTGTATGCTCTAGATTAGTGTTTTTTGTATAGATAACTTGTATGAAAATTTATGTTAGACTTTTATTTTGAATGAAACTTGTTATCGTAAATTTTTTTACACAAAAACCCACGGGTACCCATAAACCCGCGGATACCCAGCGGGTTGAGTTGGGTTTGAGTTTTTCAAACCCAGCGGGTCTTACCCCGGTTTTTTTTTTTTTTACGGATAAACCCATGGGTTTGTGTTTCGGTTTGGCAAAACCCGCCCCAACCCGACCCATTACCATCCCTATGCACTCCAACAACCTCTCATCCGATGATATACTTTGGCTTGATAGTCCTCCTTCATGTTTAGTTCACCAGCTGCAGCTGGACAATGTTATGGCGAATTCTGATTAATGAAATTGAAGCAAATATACGGTATAAAAATTTATATTGGCGAAAATAAAATAAACTTAGAAGTTGTATGTGGCATTTGATCATTGATATGAATAGAAATTGGAGATTCAAATACGAATAGCAAACACATACTATCATTACTATGTACTCCATTTGATTCGAGCATTCGAAGAAAGCTCAAAACAAAGACATAAATATTTGGCAATAATAATCAATACTAGTTTTCATTGCCCGGGCTCCGCACTGGGACTTGAGATATATAAGAACATGTCATAAAATGTTCTTTGTTCACTATATAATGTTGTTTCTATAATGATATAGGTTATTCTAAGCAAACTTTTTGAAGCTCAGACTTAATTCATCAATTAGATTGGAACTTGTTAAATTTGTACTAATTATCTATATTTTTCAAAATAACTAATTGCAGGTTCGCATGTACCAAGTTATTAGTTTGTAATATCAAACTTTTAAAACCCCACAAATAATGTTACCCACCCAACTTGCTTGTTCATATATCCACCCAATTTTAGTGCCAACGTAATTAGGACCGAGATCTGTCCTGTATTCTTCCATTTTGTGGTTCAATTATTGTTTATAAGACATGAATGAACATGGCAAGTACTTGTACAAGAACAAACCAGCTGAATTCCAGAATTCGAAGTACTTGTACAGAAGATTTAACCAAAACTCCCGATTGTTTTACTTTGGTGAATGTTTTTAGTCTGAAATTGTACCAATTCAGCGTCGTCCAAAAGTCCAGCGTGCAAATAGTAAAAGTAAAACAAACCCAGACAAAAATGGAGAGAATCAAGAAGCAACATAGTTAAAGATTTCAGAGAACAACTTGGGATCCCTAAAACCAAAACGTCACCAAAATTTCATCTATAAAACGAAGACAAACCATCCATGAAAAGAGAAAACACTAAAAAATAACATGAAACCAAGCTAGTGCCTAGGCCACCATAAGCTTCTTCTCCATATCGTCCAGAACAGAACACCACTCATGTCATGTCTACTCGATTCTTCAATGGAATCAGCGTTGGTACCTCACACCATAAGAGATCAAACTGATGAAAGAAAATGAGGAAGAGCACATGCAATGCAATTAGACAGAGAACCCAAACTCAACATATATAGAACAATTACCTTAAATTCATTGACAAACCCAGAAACAATTTTGAATTCTTTGATACCTGTCTGTGTGCCTCAAATTCATTGACAAATCCAGCAGCTTCTATTGCTATCTTTTTGCTTAAGTTGGCCTACCATTCTGCCTCGAAGAAATTAACTTGACAGCTGCAGCAGCTACTCCTAAAAAGCTTCTAAAACAAAACTTAAGAGAAAGGAAGATATAGAACCAACCAATCTTCTATAAAAACAACATCATTGAAAACCCACGGATCTGCCTCTTCTCTGATCTGTCTTTGCACTCCTCAAATCCAATTGTCAACCTAGACTCTCCAAGTGGCAGATGAAAGACAAGAGAACAAATCAACAATCTCCGATCCATCAAAAGGAAAAGAATATACATCTGGCGCATACAAGTACTGGAATCGAACAAATCAACAACAACTAAAGAAAGATTTACCAATGGGAGTCTCGCAGCTGAATGGTGCATCAAATCTTATGCAAAGCGAAGGCTGTAGTTGCAGAATATAAAAAAAGAGAGAGATTAAAAAAAACAATCCTTTTGAGAAAGAAAGAAAGAAAGAAAGAAAGAAAAAACGAAATAGAAAAGGAATCAAGTGAAGATTGTGAAGAAAACAGACAAATCAGAAGAGGATGAACAATCACCTGAAGCCATCAATTCAATGGAACGGACCGATATCTTGAGGTTTTTGGTTCCTCGCCGGTCCACCCAACCCTCGCAGTTGGGGAAACAAATTGAGGGAGATAAAGAGCCATTATTTGCTTGCAACTTGCAAGAAGACTTGTCTGGTATACAGAACTGCGCCAGGTAGGTTAAATAAGTGGCCCGGCCCAAAGTAAAGGAGCTACGTGGTACTTAAATCCACCAAACAACTTAGTCTCCTCCCAAGTCTATCAGCTTTACTTGCCTCATCCATCCAGAGCTCAGCCTCGATTAACTAAAAAGCTGAGCGGAACGGCACGGCACGGCACGGGCATCTCTCCCATCCCTGAAAACACAAATACAAGCTGCCAACCCCAAGCCAAGGCGAGTAAAGCCGCCGTGTGATCAACACCTGCGAGGGGAAGCTAAGGAACCCCAACCAGACTCACCAAACAGCCGCCCACACCCAAGTCCCTTCCAACTCGAAACAGTACAAATGGGTCACGATATACAGTGAAAGTTCAGTTCTCTTGATGCACACCATATTCTCATACGAGTGAGTCACCTCCACTTTGGTAACCCCTTTGTTCTCAGCTCAATCTCCCGCCAAAATTCTCAAAATCCCCCAGCTTCCATCCCTTTCTTCACCTGCAAATGTCCAAGTCGAACACATCTTCTTCGTGGATCGCCCAATTCAAACCGGGCGATCGGGTCGAGGTCAGCTCCGACGACCCCGGGTTCCGCGGCTCCTGGTTCGCCGGCACCGTCATCCGCCGCGAGGCCAAGAACCCTAATCGCTACGTAGTCGAGTACGACCAGCTCTACGAGGATGAATCTGGGGAGAAGCTGCTGCAAGAAACCCTCGATTGGATCCAATTGCGTCCGCCACCGCCGCCTCCCGAGAAGAAGAAGAAGGTCCAGTTCAAGTTCGGCGACGAAGTGGAGGCCTTCCACAGCGACGGCTGGTGGGAAGGGGCTATTACTGCCGAGCACTCCGGCGGGAAATTCGCGGTGTTCTTCAGAGGCTCAAAGGAGCAGATTGTGTTTGAAGAGAAAGATTTGAGGTTGCGGAGGGAGTGGGTTAAAGGGAAGTGGGAGCCGCCATTCGAGCAGGTTCAGCGGGAGAAAGAGGTGAGCTAATTTGATTTTATGACTTTTCCTGCTCCGTTGCTTGGTTTGACAATTTTAGGGAATTCTAAATCTGGATCTAGTTAGGCTGAGGAAAGTAGAGAATTGGGTGATCAGAGATGGCATTTGTTCTTGTTCACAATGTCTCAACCTCGTTGAATCGCTTCATAAACATGCAGAGGTCGCTAGAGAAAACTGAAACTAGGCCAAGCAAAGTAGCAAAACGTGAGAGTTCTTCTGTTAGCGATGCAAAGACACCAGAGAATAACTCGACGAATGTCGGAAAAGGGAAGAAGTTGTCTGAGCCAAAGGCAGACTCAAATTGTCCCAAGGAAGTGATGAAGTTCACTCAAGGAATGCAAGTCGAGGTGACAACTGACGACGACGGTTTCAAAGGCGCTTGGTTTGCTGCAACAATTATTGAACCTTCGGGTGAAGACGAGTACCTTATTGAGTACAAAACCCTGACGAATGATGATGATACTGAGTTTCTCAGAGAAGACATTCGTGCTTGCAACATAAGGCCTTGTCCGCCGGAGACCATTGTTGTGGATGGATTCAAGGTGATGGATGAAGTGGATGCTTACTACAACGAGGGCTGGTGGGTTGGCGTGATTGCAAAGGTTTTGATCAACTGCAAGTACGTGGTTTACTTTAAAGAGACTGATGAGAAGATAACGTTCAAGCAGGCTGATTTGAGGCCACATCAGGACTGGTTGAACGGCAAATGGGTTGTTCCTTCAGAGGTCTGAATTTTTATGCTCTCAAGTCTTAACACACTACTAGCTTTTCTAGTAAATGATTTAGTTGTACGGGCCTGCACTCAATGCATCTCTTTCTATTGTGTTTGCCAAATTGGTTGTAGATCTTGAGTGTGTGGAAATCTGATTGAACAGCCCAAAATGTATTAGAGAACTATGACTAGCAGATGTTTCTTTTCTATGGGATTATGTTGGAAAAATATTTATCTTTTGATGTTGAATGCTCCTATTCCTATAAAATTCAAAGTTCTGTCTGAACTAGAACTTGGGGGGTCTGTTTCATGAGTATTCTTAAAATGGAAGGATTCTAAGGTGTAATTGTTTGGATGACTGATTTACAGAAGTTAATTGTTGGAGAACACAGAGAGATTCGAGTCTGAATTCTCTGCCGAAGAAGAGATTGCATATCCATCCATTTTGAGAACCAATGTTGCTTGTTCAAAATGATTTGTGTACAGACTCTCATCTCATGTTAGAGATCACCATTGTTTCTCATTCGAAGGAACTCTTGTGTGAGAGTTCGCCATTTTCGCTTATTGTTTCACGTTTCGAACACACACCTATTTGGTGGATGTGCTGGGATTGGGAATCAATTAGTTAGCACTTGTGTTTATGTCTGCCTCTTTTCCCCCATGCCCTGAAGCAGTGATTTCAGGATGAAGAACAACAGGTTTTACTGAACATAAAGCAGTTGTTGATGGGATCCATTCAGTTCCTTCAGAGCTGTAGCAGCAAGATGATTGAACAGTCAAGAACCATTAGTCTCCTCAATCTCTTGTTTGAATTCCTCAGTATACTATTCACACTTTGTTTGCTCTTTTCTGGTTAAACAAACAATATCTGTTATCCCACTGTGTTGAAATTTGGACCTCTTCTGACATGTGCCTTCCAATTGTATAATATTCAGAATGTTGCAGAAGTTGTCGATATCCCAAGCTGTTTAGTTAACAGCTGCATTGAACTCTGCTCACCCAAATCTCAGTCTTTAATCCATTTCAACCCGCAAATGCTTCCAAGGCTGTGCATGATTCGATTCATAATTAAAGAACCGAACTGAATCAAACTAAAATCAAATCGAAAATTATGGACACAGGAGAACCATTCTGATTTTCTTTCGGCATGCTACTTTCTCTTCTTTATCAAGAGAAATTAATAAATTGAAACCCCAGTAGGTCTAGAAATTTGAGACTAGTAACCCTTTCATTGCTTCTTCTTGCAGTTCAGTTTTCTCTGAATCCTAGATGCCAGAAACCGATAAAGAATCAAACTTTTCGCAGAACAGTTTCAATTTTATTATCAGCGTGGAACCAAGTAAAGGTACAGGGAAGAAGAACAACAGCAAGAAGCTAAAACGACAACATGAAACAGGAAAGATTTGGCTCTTTCTTATAGCTTCTCTACTGAATCAAAGACACAAACTTCATGCTTCCTTCACTGCAACAGCCTCCTTCGCCGCCGGTTCCTTAGCAGCAGAAGCAGCAGCTCCCTCCTTAGCTGCCGGTTCCTTAGCAGCAGGTTCCTCAACCTCAAAAGCAGTAGTAGGGAAAGTCCTGTACAACCCAGTTGGGGTCTTGAACGTGATTTTCCCAGTAGGCGGCTCGTCGGTGTAGATATCAGAAAGGGTTACCCAAAGCAGAAGCTCCTTGGTCTTGACACCGGTCAGCTTCTTGATCTTCCCCTTCTCCACCACAGCAGTCACCTCTGGCGCATAGCTCACGAGCTTCCCAATTTTGTCGAACTTGTGAGTGATGCTCTTCTTCTGCTTCAGCCAGACGAACCCTGTCTCCCTCACGATCCCACACTCCTCGATGTTGTGTAGTGGCAGCAGCCCATTGGGGAGCTCGATTTCCCTCAGCAGCTCCTTGGATTTGGCCTGGCAGATCTCGTCGCCATTGTAGACCTCCGAGGCCTTGGCCCTGATCTCTTCTGTGACCAGAGACATCTTCTCTTTTCTTTCTCGTGAAGCTAAAAGAGAGCAACTTTTCTGTGATGTGATGATGGGAGTTGAGAGGGTTTTTTCTTTGTTTGGAGAGCTGTGTCGTTGTGGGGGAAAAGGGGGATGGCCTGCTCCATGTTCATATAGTAGTTGGGTTATGTATCTGGGCTTGGCGATGTGGACAAATTTCAGAAATGCCACTGCTTGTTTTGTTGTTGTTGAAAGTCCAAGATGAGTAGGAGGGGAGAGGACAGACAAGAGAAAAGGAGTTGATTATGGTGTTGGAGTGAAGTTAGTTTAGCTACATTTTTGTTCCGTGGCGAAACTAGAAATTTGAAGACTAAAACAGAAAATATGAATCGATGGGTATGAATTATTATATTTTCTAAAAAAAAATACATATAATTTTACGTGGTTTTGAGAGTTGAGTGGGAGCTATAATTTTCATGTCATCTACGTGTGTCTGTCACTATTTGTGAATGGCGTGAAATGTGGTGTATAATATCGCTCAGTTCTCCAATCATGATACTTAGATCTTCCTCGTTTATGATTTTATCGGTCCTTATTTTGATCCGAAAATCATATCTTCTGTTAGTATGATGAAGGCAAAAAGGGTAGTAAGAAAACGACTAACCAAAAGTTGCAGAAAACTCAAACCCAATCAAGGTTACATTACTATAATGTAGCCATCTTTTGATCTCATGGGTCACATATTATTGTGGCAAGCAAAGGGGAAATGGTGAAGGAATGGGCAGAATGGGTAGGTGAATGGTAATTGATGGAAGGAAGGGGAAAGGGTTTTGCCTTGCCTGCCTCATATTTATGTGACAGTTATGAAGCATTTATGGCAAATATTAAGAGGCGGTGGATGGATGGGGACAGTTGCCCAAATTTCACCTATCTGTTATGAACTTATGGTGATGGAGGTGGGAAATAGGGTAATTGCCTAAAATGGTCACTAAAATTTCGTATCACTGCCAAATCAATCCCTAAGCTTCAATATCTTAATTTTAGGATCATTTAAGATTGAGATAGATTACTTCATTTATCGCAGTCTGATGATTCGCCAAATTTGGTAACGAGGAGGGTTTTGTATTATATGTAACTAGCTAGGAATTATGGGGTGAAAGAAGAGTGATATTTTTTTTATGAGGATGATTGTCGCAACTCGTAAAGTTTGAATATAGATTGTGTTGAATGTTATCGTATGATTCGTATCCACATTACGATTAGGCTAAGTTTTTGGATTGGAACTGGGTTAAGTTTCGAGTTTGGTTTAGGATGAGTGTGAGTTGAAGCAAATCATCTCTCCCGACTAATTAGAAATCTACATATATGTTTATGTCACTTTATTTGGTTGAGTTTGCGGTCTAATTTCAATAATTAGCGCAAAAAGCAAAATAACAGCTAACAGAAGTTGTTTGAAACTCCATTAACGAGTTTGTAAGTATCAAAATTTAGTGACCCTAAAGCTGAGTGACCATTTATGTAATTGTCTAATTGACATAAGAAGGATACTATGAGACCCAACCAAAAAAATGCAATAATAGCTAACCCCCACCCTTAGTTCAGTTCTTCACCCAATTTTCATTTTCCTTGCTTTCATCCCCATTCCATGGAGGATGTATTGCCATGCTTAGCATTTTTTTTTTTTTGGTAAGACCCATTAGCATTTAAGTTAGTATGGGGTGTTTGTTTGGCTTTAACTATAAGGAAATGTGCAAATTTAAGTAGTTACATATGAAGGAAAGGAAAAGTGTGATCAATGAATAGTACAAACCTATAAGTTAAGTACAAGTTTAGGAGGACATCGTTTTGTTTGAAAAGATCTCCCTCTTCAAATTTGACCTCATAAAATTAATCCAAATAAAATATCAATTAGATATCAAGAACCGACAGGTTGATTTGAGTAATCGGTAAATTCAAATTGACTCTCATCTTTATGATTGGATTAAGATCATTGATCTTGTGCTAGTATTCTTGTAGAAACTTATGTAGCCTCTTTAGGATGGAATGAAAGGTCTTTGCTTTCATGCAAAAAAATGTTGAGAATCAACTTAATTATCCTAATAAATTCCCACAGATAGTTCAAACAATATTTACACTATTTTTTTCTTATACGTTGTCAAAAATGTCTGCAATACTAAAGTTCATGCAAATATTGTTTCTAATGTGTATAAACTTAAATAAATTATATAATAAGTGTGCTGATTTTTTAGCCAGGCGAGGGCACTCCTTGCCCCTGGGTTTTCACCCAGTTATTATTTCTGATCCTGTATTGTGGTATTTGATTTTGTATGATTGTCAGGGACTTTTCAAATCCCGTCTAGTTTTGAATGAAGGTTGAGATGCTCTGCATCCATTTATAAAAAAAAAAATCACACAAACATTTTCCAACACAAAAACTTTCATAATTTGTATAAAAGTTAATTTGTTTCACTAACTTGAGATATCGTACAAAATCAATTCTTAAATGGATTTCATCCCGAAACACCACTAATATCTTTGATACCAATTTAAACTCAAATTATAAATAATTAATCAAACTATCACAAACCCGCAAAACTTGCTAATCCCAAACTTTAGGACATTAATGGTTTTAAGATTAGTTGTAGTATCGTGTCAAACTAACTAAATCAGGACAATGTGCAACTATGCAAGTACTTAAGCAAAGCCAAAATAAGGGGCCAAGTGGCACCCAATGGGAAAAGCTTTCTTCGTGATATCTTGTCACTTCCTTGCCTTCCTTGCTTTTGCCATGTTCTTTCAAGCTATACTCATTGCAACATTTGGGAAACCCTTAAGAAAAAGTACATTCCTTTTTGCCAATTGTTGCAAAAGGGATGCCAAGTTGCCAACAGAGAAGAAAAAAGATAGATGCCAAACAGTTATGGCCAAGGGTAGGGGTAGTAAATGATATGAAGCAAACTACTAACTGCCCTCTTCTTGATACATCAATTCAATTCATGTCCTTGTATTGTCCTTTCGGTGTGACTCAATTCCATAAACGACACACTAGTTTTATGCACGAACTGATTGATGACATGGATTGAATATACGATCATGTGTGTGCGAAATATTATACATAAGAGGGTTAATAACATGGATCGAACATAATACGACATGCGTGTGCCGAACCAACAACACTACCAGCTAGGCTTCTCCTCCTGCCTCTGCATAACATCCTTGGGATATGCTATATCTCCTGCTACTCCATCATCACACCCCGCTGGTGCTAATGTAGATGGTCCACTCCAATCTCCTTGATGTGCAAGTATGTAATGATATTAACGCAATCGATATATTAGCTAGGGAGAGGAAGGGAGTCAACGTGATCTCGACTAGTATAGGTTCGATTTTGATCGAGCTACCTTAGTAAAAGTATGAGTTGGTACAAGTCATTCGGGAAAAATGGCTTCTTTTTTCAATCCTGAGAAGAGTAGATTGACAGTTTGACACACTAATCTTCAACAAAAGCGTCACTGATCCAAACTTTAGTGACGAATTTATTAAAAATATCATCTTTCGATCATTTATGCATTCAACCTAGAGGTGGCAATTAAGATCCAAATCCATGAATCCAATCCAATCCATCCACCAAATTATCCACCTAATCCAATCCATTTAAATCCAATCCATTTGATCCAAATCCAATTGGATTGGTGGATTCATGGATCAATCCATGGATCCAAATGGCAAATTACGATTTGGTACCTATATTTTTTATATTTTACATTTTGGTACCTAAAATTTATATTTTATACGAAAAATATCATTGGAAAATTACATTTTGGTACCTAAACTTTTTCATTATGACATTTTAGTACCAAAACTTTTCAAATTTTACATCTTGGTCCAAGCCTTGGATGTCATTTGGATTCATGGATCAATCCACCAATCCATTTGATCCAATCCATGAATCCACCAATCCATTGGATCCAATCCATTAGATCCATGGATCCACCAATCCAATCCACGAATCCACGAATCCGATCCAATTGCCACCTCTAATTCAACCCCTACTCTACCAATAGGACAATACATTAATTTATTTAGTATAAATATGATATGATATGTCTCCATGGTCCCTGTTCCAAACTTGTCAACGCTAGCCAGCCACCACATCGTAGCATTTACTCATTTTCTCAACTTTCAACAAGGAGCGTTCAATCCAACCCCTAAAATAAATTCTCGACACAAAAGTGAATTCAGCTATCCAGACTATAGACCAAGACGTAAGAATGGGTCGTCAAGTTAAAAAGATGGAAGCTTTCATTATATTATATCACAAGAAATGAAGGACGTGAGAGACAGAGACAGAAAGCTCAACCCATTGATGCTTCAATGGCTGGCTGCTGTTCTTTTGCTGCAAATCTTCTGCCTGCCATGGAAGGACACACTAACCAAGGAAACAAGCTTACATCAACAAATAAAAACTTATTGACTTAGGTAAGAAGTTATCCAATAACATATCGATGTCTCATAAAATCCGAATAAATTCGGATACATGAAACAACAAACATTTTCAAAGAGTACATTAGAAACAATATAAAGATCAATTATTTATATAAATAATAATCGAAACTTGATCGAGCAATAGACTGAACGATCACAAAACAAGCGACCGATGAACACAATATACAAACATTTTTACAAAAAAATAAAGGAATCGAATTAGTCCTGTTGCTTGTAAACCACGACAGGGCTTCTAACGCTATGCCCAGGGCTTCTCCACACAAGCTCTCCGGACAGAATCCCAGAATACCCGGCAATGGGCTCTGCCTTCACCACAACCTTGAAGCTCCTCTCCTCGTTGACGCGCGAGAAAGACAGAGTCATGGGCTTCACAGTGATCTCCATACCTTTGGGAGCTTCAATGGTGGCATTGTAAACCACCGGATAGGGCCCGCGCCCAACGTTGGTCACCATCCTCTGGAAAGTCGCCACCGTTGGTTTCTGCTGGCTCTTCACTCGCATTTGGATGGTCGGATAGTTCAACGCATCGTAGCCAAGCCCGGGAATGATGGTGGAGCAGTTTATGGATTTCGAGCCAACTAGGACCGATAGGGACGAGCCTTTGTAGCCTTCGTGGCAGAGGAATTGGACGTATGCCATCTCGTCCATGTCGTACACCAACCCCGGGCTTCGAGCCCTGACAGGATTCAGTTGTCCTGCCCCGTATGCGAACTCTGCGTCGTTGTTCACCCTTCGGCTCATTTGTTTAGCTTCGGTACAAGAAAATTGGAATCAAGAAATAGTTAGGGGGAAGAAGATTGGAAGAGAGGACATACATTTTTTTACCTAGTATCATTCATTTTGTTCTGTACCTTACCTGTAGTGAGGATGGCAGATTTGATGGCTGCGGCAGTCCAGTTGGGGTGGAAGGATTTGACATATGCGGCGGCTCCAGCAACGTGTGGGCAAGCCATGGAAGTTCCGGACATGAGCGTGAAGTCAGAGCGCTGGGTGTCCCCGTCTAATCCGGTCAGTGTCCTCAATCGAGTGTACGCCGCTAAGATGTCGATTCCAGGTGCTGCTATGTCAGGCTTCCAACATTTTGGCAATTTTTGTTACAGCCAGCCCCGTACAACAAAAGAACTATTAGCAAATCACATGTAGGCATGTAGATGATTCCTTGATGCAGTAGGAATACGTACGTACATACATACCTTGAGAATGCGAGTCGACCCCGGATTCGGACCTCTGGATGAAAACGAGGCTACAAATGGAGCATCCACTTTCCCTTCTTGTGTATGGTATATCACAGCTCCTGGTGATCTGTTGTCAATGCCATGCAACGCAGACGTAGTGGTTATGAATTGAAATCGAGGAGGCTTTGTGTTGTGACTAATCAGGGGGCAGTAACAACAAACACACCTTGTGGAATGAATGTAACTGTCAATGCTGTCTCCGACTGATGAATTTACCATTGTGGCTGGTGCCATGAAAATTTGGGCAATGTCGAGATATTGCTCACTCTCAACTATTGTCCCTACACCTCCCAAACTTTTCACGACAGAATCCCTACCCCACTGCCCTAGCTTGCAGTAAACTAGCTTTCCCTTCACCTTCTTTGCGTCCATCGATCCATCATAGCAGAATCTGCAATTGTTTTACCCAGCATTATTTAGTGTTGTTTGTGATCGTTATGTCTCGTCGCCAAAGTGCTTATTAACTGTATGATTAGTTTGATAATAAAAGATACCTTGCAGTCTCCTTGTTATCTTCATCAATGGCCGCATCAAATCCGCTAACCAGAGGGTAAAGCTTCTCCTTTGGCTGGAAGAGACTCACACCAGTTCCCTTCAACAACAAACCACAACCATATTTAGTTTTTTTATTGCTAAACAGCATCTCCCTACTTCTTTAGAGAACCTTTCATAGACTCAAAATTTATTATTTTTTACTGAAATTTCACCATTTTCAAGCTAAACTAAAACAAACATGCACACAGAACTTACCGAGAAAATCTTGCCATTTCCAAGTTGTACTTTGCTCTGAAACGTCCTATCAATCCCACTAGCTGCCACAGTCAAGATCCACGGCGCATGGTTCCTCACAGAAGCTGGGTTAGGCCCATCATTCCCAGCAGATGCCACAGTTAAAATACCATTCTTGGTCGCATGGAATGCACCGATGGCTAATGCATCAGATGTATATTCCGCATTCACACCACCGATAGAGATCGATATGATATCAACGCCATCGTGTATCGCAGCTTCGAATGCAGCAAGCAAGTCCATATCGGAACAACCGTAACTGACCCAGCAGACCTTGTACATGGCAATCCTGGCTCCGGGCACTGCTCCACGAGCTGACCCTCTGGCTAGCCCAAACAGGCTGGCTTGAGGGACCAAGTTCCCGGCTAGGGTCGAAGATGTGTGGGTCCCATGGCCGTCCACATCGATTGGAGATAAGATGTCGCTTGGGTCTGGGTTCCCGTCTAGCTTGAAGTACTTGGCTCCTATTATCTTGCTTTTAACAGTTCCCGCGTTAATAAGACTATTAATTATTTGGACATGCAACAAAGCACAAATGGGATGGATAAAAACAGAGTTGTGTAATTACTTGTTGCATCCGGAGAAGTTGGCGTGGCGAGAACAAGTGCCGCCTTTCCATTTCTTAGGTGGAGGGCCAAAGCCATGATCGTTGAAGCTGCTAGATTGTGGAGTGATACCTGTATCCAGAAGACCAACGACTATGTTCCTCTCTGTTTTAAGGTTTCTCTTTGCCGTCTTGGGAAGTCCAAGGAAATCCCATGATTTTGTCGTGTCCAGCTTGTGATAACGGTTTGGGAACACGCCAAGGACTTTCTCATGTCCTGACCACCACCAGAATCACCCCATTTGACAGCATTAGCAACTAACGAAACCAGCAACTTGGAAACGAATACGTAGCGATGAACAAAACATAACGTTATGTCGATGAGGCTAGTTACTTGATAGCCTTTGGGCTTCACTTGGAGACAGTTTAGCTGCAAATGCACTGAAGCTCTTGGTGTAACTATACACCATGTCATCCACAGCTTCATCATTGCTATTTCCCACATTAAAAAAAAACCACGGTTAAGCGACTTAAGTCCAATGAAACTAAAGCTTTCCTTTCCACTCTATATTTCCTCACCTCTTGACAGAGGACAAGACATGCATATGGTGTTCAACTGCCGAGACACCCTCAGGTGGATCTCCTAGATAAACAATGTGGAAATCCTGTTTATCACCATTGCAGAGGAAAACCAACAATCATTGATCACCTCGAGCATTAAAATATAACCGATGCTAGTAGAAAACAAAAGGAGCAAGCTGAAGAAGCAACAGACCTTTTGTTCATTACCTGCAGCAGCAGAAGCAGAAGAACGAGATGCATGGGTAATCAAGACTTGAAGCAGAAGTAAGAAAGTGAGATGGTGAACAGAGGTGTATATCTTCTTCATAGTAGGAGGAATTGGCAATGGCTTGGTAGTCAATAGTGAAACACTTTTTATTTATACTTATTTCCAATGCTCGTTGGCCCTTCCCAAAAGGAATAAACAAGATCAGAGTGCCCACAAAACTTTTACTTAAATCCTTTAGCTAGATTCTTGTAAGGGTATTCATTTGGAAACCTTAGAAGGCAGATCAAGCATTGAAATTCCAAAACAAAAACAAAAAACAAAAAAGAACACCAGAACTGAGCACAAGTTGATGTTTCTTTTTATGGTTCAATTTTACAAATTAAGCAGCTACAGAGTACGTTCTAGTTTGTTGATTGGCCAATTTTATGGTTGCTGTGTGCCTAAGACCTTCCTTTCAAGGGAACTTAAGACCTCAGAACCAGTTCTTTCATGAATTAAATATCATTGATTGTTAGGTGAAAATGTTGCCAATAGACAAATTATCCCCAAACGTGAAGCTTCTGCTTTCCATTAGTCCCTGGCGGGTTATTTTCCTTTCATAACCACTAGACAAAGACCATTTTTTTTTTTTTTTGAAACATGACAAAGACCATAAAATTGCTGCGGGTGACAGAAACCGTCATTGGAGTAATTTTTTTTATATAGAAATCCACGGTTATTGTTTGTTTCTAATTTTATTTTTTCCTTTTGCATGAACTCTACTTTCCAGAGATTATTTTGTAAAAGAGTATCTGATTATCTCGTCGTTATTCTGTAATTTTTATTATTTAAATTCTACTGGTTTACACATATCATATTGACAAGTTAATACAATACAAATATACAATAAGAATGCCGTCCTAAAAAACAAAAAGAAGGCCGTCAATCCCCATTAAAACTACAGGTTTTTTTATTAGAAGAAGAAATAGTTACTTCTTACTAAAGTATCAGCTTACTACTTCAAGCCACTAGTAGCTAACATAAACAATATATAACAACAGCTTCATTAACGATCAGAACAAATTCAGACGAACCTATAGATTTTGGATTCAGCCGATGGTAGGAATTGCTTCCACTGTGTTTCAGAATTCCCATCTCTGCAAGTCCTTTACGCATCATTGAGACCTATTTTTGGAGTAACCATGGTGGATTGAGGGTCACTTCATAAACAGTCTATGACCAAAACAATTGCATCTGGTAAAATGTAAACATTGACTCTGACGGAAAAAAATTGAATCATTATGGATCTGTCGAATGCTTGTTCCAGGTCTGCAAAGCTCTATGAATTCTTTGTTTGTTCGAAGAATAAGATCATAAAGTTCTTCCTGGAACACACACTTCCGCCATCAATTTGAACACACACTACAGCATATCGCAGATAACACTACCGCTAAATTGATGGCTTTCAATGTTGGCGAGCAGAAGCACAGGACGAAGCTCATTAGTAACTGGTAGATTAGCCATTGAGAAGATGACATAGAGGACTAGAGGAAGAAACCTAAGATTCAGAACTTGAAAACATGAGATTACTAGTAATCAGAATTGCAAACAGAAAGACACATGATTGTCGACTAACTAGATTAGAATTTCGATTGGCCACTTCTTAACCATATAAATCAGAGATGAAATCAGGTTACAAGAATCTCAGTCAAGAAACTTCATAAGGGAAACACTTACGCCATCCTTTGGGCACCTCTCATTCTGCTTTTGTATTCAACTTTTGCAGCCAACATACTCTCGTATGGGTAACTCTTGGAATGTAGCATTGTTTGCAAGAGAGCCTAACCAACAATTGAGAAGATAATAAGCATTAGAAAGACTAGCAAGGGATTTCGACTCCAGCATGGAAACTATAGCAAGTTGGAAGTACCTGACAAACAAATGAACAATTGGTGCAGAGTCTCACATCAACTTGCAGCGCCAAAAGCTCCTTCCTTCTTGAAATTACTCATCGCCACTTGTACAAGGTGTAACTAACCCTTCTTTCATCAGCTGCAAAAAGGCACAAGTGTGTGACAAAAACAAATTAACTTCCTTCATAAGTAAACATGTCTATGATGTCAAAGCAATCCGTCGCAATTGAAGAAGTTCGACATATCCAATGATTGGGAAGAGCTAGAACTAATCCCCTGGGGATGAGTAGCAGGAGATGGCTGACTGATATCAAGGACATCGTTGGTAGAATACTTGTAACACCCAATAACCTGCAGCATAACAGCACCATTTATATCTGAAGCAAAACAGCTATGACCTGCCAAATGGAGCTGTTTGGTGTAGAACTGATAAACAAGCGCAAAATTGCAGCGTTGGAAGTTTTCACGTATTTAAGGCGAGCCCCCAGCAATTTTGAAGCTAGATCGCTGGTGTCTGCAGTGATTTAGCTACATTGCATCTGTTGACAGCAGTTTGGGTAAAATTGGCGGACACTACAGCAATATCCAGCACAAAATTGTGTATTTTAGGAAATGTTAGTGTATGCACAGTATGTGCTGTATAGTGAGATTTTTTTTAGTACGTTTGGTATATTTTCAAACAAATCCGCTTTCTTTTTATATTCATAAAATGGACCCTGTGAACAAAGAAAAATGAGAGCATGGGGTAAAAGAGACCAAGAGAGCAGAAGTAAAGTACTCGGTACTGAGTTAAGTAAACTGAAAATCATATAGTAGCTAGCACTTAGTTCAACGAGATACAATACAAGCAGCCAAATCTCATGACACCCTATCCAACCAACAAAAGCATCAAATAAATCGATGCAGAAAAGATTTGATATCATCAATATAAGGATGGCGAGTAGGAATGATATGGCCGCAGCCATGCTCAATCACAACAGAGCAGCCATCCTCAAATAGGGAAGCGAGGTATCTGCTAGCTTCATTGTCAATCTGCCTATCCTTGCCCACAACACTTCCGAATATATGCAGCGAAGGGATTTTAATCGACCCGTTTTCAATCTTCTTGCCAAGTGGTGTGACGGCAAACCCAGAGCATAAAATTGCAAACCTGAAATTGATTTCACCCTTCAGATTTGGTTCTAACGAACAAATAGATGCAGCCATTGCTGCCCCTTGTGAGAATCCGAGGATCCCGTCGAATGGTCCGTCAAGTGCAAAGATGGACCTTAAGTGTTCCACTGAAGCATCAAATCCTTCGGTTTGCTGTTGGTATTGAAGCGGATCGAACTGAGCATCTGCCGCTTGCCAATGGGTTTCACTGCTTCCCGTCCCATCTGGTGCTATAAACCAGGCAAACTTCCTCCTGCAGTTATCTGGTGGAGGTGGTGGTTGCAATGAAGGGGAAGAAGATTCTTTCGCATGATCTTGAACAGGGCAGTAGATGTAAGGTAACTCATGAGGTGCATCAACAAAGACGAGCTCTGCAATTTTTTTCAGTTTCTTGGCTAAAGAGGCGGTTCTTCCTTTAAAACTGGAAGCATTCTGCCGAAACCCATGCAAGCATAAGATTCTTAGCTTTCTTGGAGCGCCGACATCTGTGTTATGCAAACGGAAAATAAGGTTACAGCATAGCATTTAAACAGCAGATAATCTCTTACTCAAAATGAAGCAGATAAATAGACTCAGTGAGACATACGGACCTTACCATGACCAGCATCGGAGGAACAATAAACACGCTCATGTTCTGTTGTCAATTCTTTGGGTTTGCCAAAATCTGATGAAGAAATTGACTCAACACTCTTGCCATGTCTCTGGCAGAGCTCACAAACATAGATGGCCTCATCTGTCTGGTCATCCTCACAAACAAAAGTGTCAAAGACAGCTGATGGGTGCAAAATCCAAATAGCAGGAATACAGGCCAAGGTGGCACATAATCTAGAACTACACACACACACATCACAGAAAAGAGCATACGTCCTCCCAAGACTTTCATGTCAGCAGCAACCATGGCATAATGAAGTTAATTATTTCACAAAGTAGTATGGAGAACTCATGATAAAATCACCTCATCTTAAGATAAACATGTTCTGGCAGAATAGAGAGGGTAGTGGTTGAGCATACCTGACATTTACTACACACCAACACAAGCATTCTGCAGTGGAAGCATCTGCAACGTGATGAATAATCATCGAAAGACAAGCTACAGAACAGGCAAGCACCCAAAATCTTGGGGTCTGAGCTCGCAACTGATATTCTGAGGCAAAAAAAATTCAAGCAGTAAGAATTACAGCTGATGCGGTCTTCATGCAATGTACTCTTAGAAGGTGCATCATGTAAGCATTTGTTTGATGGTGTTACTAACAAATCCTCGATGCTAGGTAAGAGGGGAAAGGGTACTACTACTCAAGTCAATATTAACAGGAACGCTATCCAAACCTACCGGTGATCAAAAACAAAATTCTTCCCTTTGAAATAGCCACCATCAGGGAATTGTTCCAAATACCGCTGTATACCACCGAATAACTGCAAACATATCAATTTTACAGAGCACTATCGCCATTCAATATCAATATATAACGATGTTGCCTTTTGTGCCAATTGGCAAGCATTTAACAAGCTCTCCTCATCTCAAGAACCTTACCTGAAACACATTCTCAAATCCAGCACCTTTTGACTTAATATATGCTGATGCCATCTCACATCTTATTCCCCCAGTGCAATACCTTCAAAGCAAAAGCCCCACAGTGAAATTATAAATGCGTGTAAAGCCACCATAGAATGATACTGCAACAACAAATAAAAGAACAAGCTCTCAAAATGATGGCTTACATGAGAACATTCTTGCCTCTCAACTGCTCAGAATGATCATCGACCCATGAGGGAAGATCACTATACTGCCTGATTCTTGGATCCAGAGTTTCTACACCGGGAGTTTCAAACATGCCAATTCTTGTCTCGTACAAATTCCTTGCATCCAGCAGAACAATGTCCTTACTACCATCGCACACATCATCTTTCCCTGATATGCAATTTCCAACGGGGAAAATCAAAACTATATCGAACTATCCCATGTATGCAACACACCCGTCCATTCGGCAAACAAGAATAAAATGACTCAAAGTGAAGAACTCGAGAGGGTTAATACCAGAAGTGTGAAGAGCTGAATGGAACTCAAGGGCAGAGAGATGCCTGCCAGCATTAGTAATATCCGGTGGCGTCAATAGCGGACAAGAACTAAAAGTGACCAACTCCTAACAAGCAAAAACACATTTCAATTCTACAATTCAAGTTACTAAACTTCTTCGTGGAGGCAAAAGAAAAAAGAGAG